CCGAGATAGCAGTTTGATAGCGCAGTCTATTCTGCCTCCTCTCATGCAAAGAAATTGGATCTAGCTTAAAAACTGAGCTCTTGGGAGCGATTGCCGTGGTTCAATGTTTTGCGTCGAAATCGGCCGAATATGACGTCACTCTGACGTCCTTTCCGGCCGACCTATGGTAGCTGCGAAGTTCATATTTTGACACAAGGTGTCAAATTGATGCAGCCGAAGGTACTGAAAGTTTGGCGTTGATACGTCGAGCGGTTTGGAAGTTATTTTAGAAAAATGGGAGGGGCTATGAATAGCCCCCCCCCCCAGTGGGGCGCGGGTTAATAATTGATTTTTGCAATAATGCGTATAACTTGGCCATTTTTAAAGATATTTAGCTAAAACTTGCTAGAGTAAGTTATAAGCATACGTTCTATCACATATATTCCGTTTTTTTTCGAAATATCAAGAACTTTTTGAAACAAAAATACAAAAATATAAATTTTGAATTTTATTTCATAAAATTTTCGAAATTTTCAAAATTTTGAAATCCGAGATAGCAGTTTGATAGCGCAGTTTATTTTGAGTCCTTTTTATGCAAAGAAATTGGATCTAGCTTAAAAACTGAGCTCTTGGGAGCGATTGCCGTGGTTCAATGTTTTGCGTCGAAATCGGCCAAACATGACGTCACTCTGACGTCATTTTTGGCCGACCTATGTTAGCTACGAAGTTCATATTTTGACACAAGGTGTCAAATTGATGCAGCCGAAGGTACTGAGAGTTTGGCGTCGATACGTCAAGCGATTTGGAAGTTTTTGCAGAAAAACTGGAGGGAGGGCTATGAATAGCCCCCCCCCCCCCCCAGTGGGACGCGAGTTAACCCTCGCATGTGTGCGGCGTTTGCCAGCTTCTAATGTGTAGGGGGGGTCGGTTGGACCCCCCCCCCCTTGCCGTTTGGCCCCTGATCGATCTAGAGCTTCGCGGAAAAAAACGAGCGTGTTGCCCGTGACGAGAGGAAGCCGATGATATCCAATTTTAAGGTCCTAGGTCATTGGTTGACCTTACAGGTCAGGTCAATGACCCAAAGTCGGGAAAATCGGGACCTGTTAGAAAGTCGTAAAGTGTGGCTGCTAAGTGGTTTTTCGGGGTGCTGATCACGAATATCGTGTTAGTTTTGATCACAGATGATGTCTTTAAGCATTTTGACCAGGTCGGGTCAGGTCAGGTCAGGTCAACCAGTAGGCGTTGTGACGGGTATTCGTAGTACGTGTCAACCGCCTCTGACAGCTTCGTAACATGTTACGAAGGCACCAAAACTACTTCGTAAATGTTCAAATGGTTGCTAAATTCGAATTCAGCTAAAAAAAAAACTAGCCTAGAAACATGTACAGCTCGAAAAAGTGAACCGAGGTCACCCGAGGTCAATGACCTGACCTGACCTTCAGGTGACCTTGACACCCACCCTAATGCATGGAAGCAACATCAAATCACATGTTTGAACGTTTGAAACCACGAAAAGCTTGCAAACGCGCGGCTAATACGAGCCGACATACGCAGAATCGCGATTCCGGCCAAACATGGTCTCGGAAAAGAGGTCACAGGTCAAAGGTCATTTGGGTCAGGGTCATGAAATTTTCAGGGTAGGTGTAAAATTGATCAATGTGAGGGTACTGAAAGTTTCGTCGCGATCGGCCGCTTTTTACGCGAGTTATTTGCGAAAAACCATGGGGGGGTCCATCCGACCCCCCCCCCCTACACATGCGAGGGTTAAAATGGCCAAACATTTGTTTCGTTATGCCTGAGGCTAAAAAACTGGAGGGCCGATGACATCAATGTGGTCATCTGGACTACCTAGTCCGTGTTCGAGATAAAACACCCGTCCAAACCCCAAAACGGTCCCATATGGGCGACGGAAAAGGCCTTCGTGTCATCCCGCTTTATTCCTATGCAAAAGGCCAGGGTCACGGTAATGTGGGGTAATATGCGTCCAGACGCTGAGCAGGTTGCGATTGATAGCCCAGAAACAGTGTTGGGACGCAGAATGCTACTCCTGGCTTCTCCAAGAAGATCTAGGAGGATTTTCAGCCTTCTAGCTTAACTCGAACCGCAAGTATTAACACATTTTTGGAGGAGAAAATGGCATCCGGGAGGTCGTAGGCCCATCTTCAAGCAAGACAGTGCATCAGTTCAGAGGTCAAGCAAAGCTTAAAAGCAGTGCCAACTGCCAGGAGACTGTGATAGGCGTCTGTGGCAAGATCACACACCAGGCAACTCATCGGATCCAAATTTCATCAAAATGTGTTGGAAATATTGAAATCGAGGCTCGTCGAAGCGAAGCGCTGTTCCAGCGTCGAGGAGCTCACGGCGCATGTCAAGTCAGTCTGGGCTAACTTCAAGCCTGCTATGCTGCTGTTAGGCCACAGGCAACGTATCCATCAGTCGTGTATTGGTGCTCAATACAGGCATTGCACCAGCAGCAGCAGCACCAGCAGCAGCACCCGCGCGTGGCGGCTCCCCGGTCCTGAATGACCGCCGCCCCCGGCTGCGGCCGTGACCCCGCGCCGCCGGTGGCAGCGGCGCGCCCAGCGGGAGGCGGTCCGCAGTGGCGCGCCCAGCAGCGCGCCGAGAGGTGGCACCGAGCACACAGTGCACTAACACATCCTAACACACCTCCCCCCTAAATAAAATGTCTCCTATTCTCTGCAGGCAGTTGACGGATAAGACGCAACTGAGCCCGAGCCCGTCGCGTGTCGCAACTAGATCCAAATTTCTCTTGTAGGACCCCCTTAAGTTCCCTGTAGTCGCTCCTGGCTCTTTTGTCCAAGTTCCCGCAAATGTCCAAAGCAGCACCATCCAGCAAGTCTAGCAGAGCAGCTGCTAGTTTTGCCCCCTTCAAGTCGCCAAAACGCGTCTCAAAACGGAAAATCCACGTTTCCCAGTTTTCCTCCTCGCGACCGCTAAATTTTGCTGTGCTGTGAATTTTTAAGTATAGTTCACTCGCCATTTTGGGCGGTGTATGATCGACGACTAATAAATATGATCGTATCGTCCAACGATACGGTATGCAATGACCAACGGGTAATTTGAAAATCGTGTCGTGCAACGACAACGCTATATAGCCCTATGATCGTACCGCCCAACGATACGTTGTGCAATGACAAAACCAGATAATTTGAAAATCGTGTCTTAACCCTCGCCGGCCGAGGGGGGGCGGGTGCCGCCCCCCCCCATAGGGTTTTTTTCGCGATAGCTCCGAACACGCTGGCGATAGAGAGCTGAAACTTGGCATACCTGACCTTTGATCCAAGCCGGATCTTTTGACACCAACCGCATTTTTGGGTCAGGTCAGGTCACTGACCTATGACGTCATAAGTGAACCTCTGCACGGTCTTCAGATGTCGCAACTTCGCAACGCCCTCACTGCCAGAGGAGATGTCACAGGGAAATGAAACTTGCAGGATCTAGTATCCATTATGAGTCCCACAACTTGTATATCTCGGATTTTTCCTAAAGGTCATATGAGGTCAGGTCATTTTCGTGACCTCACCATTATAAGTCAATGGGGAAAAATGAAAACTGCTATTCTGGCGCCGGGAACGATCTCCAACTATCTCAAGCACACAGAATCGTGATTTGATGCACTCCTTGCAAGGTTAGATGCGTCACTTTTGCAATGTTGACCTTGCGTGACGTCATTTATGACGTCATCAAGGTCATATTAGTTTTTCGTCAATAACTCTTGATCAAATTGAGCTAGCGAGTCGGGAAGGCCACCAGTGGACTCAGGAAGACCTGCCGAATCGAATGATATGCGACATGACCCCTTTCGACCAACTTCGTGACCTAGGGGTGCTGACCTGACCTTGACCTGAGGTCAACACCCCAAATTGACCTGACCCGGACAAAAAGTATATCATTCGACGCGCCTGAGTGAGACGAACACGATGCTGCCAAAATCGGCGCTCTGCGGCCGTTTTTTGCAAAGTTATTCACCAAAAACTGAACCGTACCTTGGGGCACTTGACCTGACCTCAGAGGTCACCGGTTGACCTAGGACCTTAAAATCGGGTACCAATCTCTGCGTCTCGTAACGGCGCACACGCTCGTTTTTTCCGCGACGCGCCAGCTCCACCAGGGGCGAAACGGCGAGGGGGGGTCGTACCCGCCCCCCCCCCCCTCGGCCGGCGCGTATGTAGAAAACCAATAGGTCCGGCGAGGGTTAAACGACCACGCTATCTGTGCTTTATGAGCTGTAGGCGCTGCCAGTGCCTCAGCGTGATTTAATATTTGCCTAACATAATCGACCTGAAATCAGCAAAATCTGGGTCGAGAACGACTGCACCTTTTCCAAATTTCAGGTTGTAGGCTAAGAGCTCATCTATCGTAAATCGATAGCATAAGAGCTGCTAAAACGATTATTGTTTAAACAAGCATAATTCAAAAGTAGGGAGCGTAAATAAGCTTACCTTGACCGCGCCAATGTTAGGCCACAGGCAGCGTATCCATCAGTCGTGTATTGGTGCTCAATACAGGCATTGCACCAGCAGCAGCAGCACCAGCAGCAGCACCCGCGCGTGGCGGCTCCCCGGTCCTGAATGACCGCCGCCCCCGGCTGCGGCCGTGACCCCGCGCCGCCGGTGGCAGCGGCGCGCCCAGCGGGAGGCGGTCCGCAGTGGCGCGCCCAGCAGCGCGCCGAGAGGTGGCACCGAGCACACAGTGCACTAACACATCCTAACACTGCCAAACATGCCGGTTGGCATGCCACAGCATGTATTCATGTGTTTGCCTATGAAATGGGGAGCACATTGAGGGGTCATAAACATATCAAAACGCAATGTACTCTGTTTTACATGCAAATATAAGGTGAGAACGAACTTATGGGACACCCTGTAAATTGCGTTTTTAACCCTGGATAATTTTACTTGGTATGCGCGCCGTCAAGTTTGATTTCGCTTTTGCTTGGATGTTTTAATCGTATCTAAGTTTTGAGTAAACCTCTTTATTCAAGTGTTGAAACGTATTGCTTCACAGTTGCGTATGTGGTTTATTTTCATTCATTAGACACATTTTGTTGTGTTATGGCACATTTTCATCAGCTAATGCATGACTAAAACTATATTTGTTGAGTAATGGGAATATATTGTGCTGCTTATACATGCGCTAGGTGCTTCCTTATTCTACAACTATTCCAATAATTATCAATATACGTTTATTTTTGCTATACCATGCTACGTCTATACATTTTCTACTACCTTCTGCTGCATCCTTACATTTTCTGCTGCATCCTGCTACATCTGTTCACTTTTTGCTACACCATGCTACATAGTACATTCATACATTTCCTGCTACGCGTTATCAACAAAATCACATGATACGAATTGGATTGCCATCAATGCCAAGAAATCACAAAGCATCACATTTTACGTACCTTCAGCATTTCTAATCTGTTATTATGAACGACAGCTGAGGGGTCACCAGAAGCCATCCACAGCACCCTGTGACGCACTACACTGCACTCCACGACACGTGGGTCTATGGACGGCATGCCGGAATTCGGTGCGGATGATGATTCAGACAACACCAACATTTCACTGTTTGGTCATCGGCATATACCAGGACACAACTGCACATCAGAAGCTCGCTAATCACGCTATATCAATTATCAGCATAGCATATGATCAAAGGAAATAATGAAGTCAGTCAACTACAGACAATGCATTGCCTGCTTTCAGAAAGCTGTCAAGACTCCAACGACTCCGAGGCCTGAAACTGTCGCTCAAATCAACTAATCAACACGTTTCCAGAATGTCGGCAGAACTCGCTAATCTCGCCACCCGCAACTGTCTCTCATTCGGCTGCCTCTCTAAAACTTGGTTTGAACTTGAGGATCAGTCTGATTGCTTCCCTGTCAAACTTTTTGTCGTCCTCTTTCTTTTGCATCAAGGCCACAAATCCCTTCTTTCTGACGTCCTGCGGTGAGTCACTTTTCAGTATGCCGATGGTTCCCAACACAGTGCCATACAAACCGGTAATACCACCCACTATGGCTGCTCCGACGGCCCCCTCGGTGGCCAGAACTGATGCCAGAGCTGATGGGAACCATGGCAAAGCTGCCACAGCGACGGGTGCAGCCGCGACAGCGAGTGCTCCGCCGGCCACGGCAGTGACTGCTGCGCAGGTCCCGGTAAAAATCTTTAGCTTTGTTCCTCTCCGACGCGTCTTCTCGATGCAGATCATCTGATCCGCTAGTTCATCTAGTACCTGATCGAGTCTATTTTTCAGGCCCTCTGAACTGTAGGAGCCCAGAGACGCCGCTTGCTCAGAGTAGTCTCTCAGCACAATCTGCTTTTCTTCATCGCGACTCTTGAGATAGTTCTTTTCGGACACACTTGGCAGCTTTTCCTCAAAACTCTTGAAAAAATCCTCGAGGGCATTGACAGCTACATTTATATTTTGCTTTTCACATTTGGCTTCGAACTTCTTTGGGAGTTTGTTGAACCATTCATCTATTTGGTTGTGCAGCAGACGCCAGTACTCACTTGCTGACTTCGTGGAATGCTGCAAGCTGAGCCTGCCTTCTAGTACATCAAGCACATGTTGTTTCGCCTGTGAGTGGGTGCGTGTGACAAGCTCACTATTAATTAGTGAGTCGCCATCAGCTAGTAGTTCCATCAAACCGGTGTACTTTTCTAAGAGGTCCCTGACCACTGCCGAGTTCGACATCTCTTCCTGTCTTTTCAGAAGATCCTGGCTACTTGTCCGGATGTTCTCGTGCAGCTGCTGACGACCTTCATCAGCATCGTACGACCCAAAGATAATCAATTCACGTTCGAAACGCTGCCAGGCGTTCCGCTCGGCTACCTCCATTGCTTCTTGCATCTTCGTTTTGTTGGCAGCCTGGTCTCTTTCTATAGCAATAAGTGCGTGTTTGAATGACATGGTACAGTCCTTTACAAGTTCACAGTTCACCTCATCCGCTCTCATTTTGTCTGCTGTGCACTTTTCGTGGAACAGTTCTTGTGATTCTTCGAACCAGCTAAGTATCTTGCTCTCAAGGCGTCCAGAGTAGTGGTCTTCGGAGTTAGTTGAATGTTTCATGCTAATCAGTGGTTGCAAGGCTGACAGAGACAAGCGTAGTTCCTTGCCGTGGTGGCCTTCAACCATGCCATTGTCCAGGCTCGGGGCACCGTCAGCTAGAAGATCTTCCATTTGAGCTTTGTACCTAAGGAACTGTCTTTCCACTTCCGTTGCGTTCGACAAGTCCTCGTCTCTTGCCAACATTTGGTCGAGCCTTTCCTTCAAACTCGTTTCCAGATTGTGTTTGCAGTCTGTTGGTACGTACGATCCCAGAGATATCATGTCCCGTGTGAAGCGATCTACCGCGACCTTTCCTGCTTCGTAGTAGGCTTCTCTGATCTTCTCTTCCCCAACAGGCATGTCACTCTCCAAGTTACGCATCGATGCGTCGAATGTCTCCATGCACTCTTTCACCAGATTTTCATTCGCCTTCCTTGCATTTTCTCTGTCGTTTGCGCACCTTGCTGTGAAATTGTTTCGCGCCGTTTCCAGCCATTCTTCTATCTTGTGAGCAAGCAGTGAGCAATAATGTTCTTCAGACTTTGTGGAATCTGGAACGGTGTCCCTGTTTTTCAGACCTTCGACCGCGGCCAACTTTTCCTCGCTGTGCTTTTTCATGATAATTTCTTCGGTTAGCGGCGGAGCGTCTTCGGCCAGTAGTTTGTTCATCTTCGTCACGTACTTGCCGAGCTCAGCATCGACGGCCGCGGCGTTGCACGCCTCGGAAACGATCTGGAGCATGCTCTTTGGTTCCGGGAGCTTGCCGCTTTGGAAGAGCTCTGCGTACCTCCTAATGAGTGTAGCCAACTCTCCGCACGTCACTGGACGGTTGCCGTTCATCTTCAGCGGGATCTTGTCTCGAGAAAGCAGCAAGGTCAGCAGCTTGTCCAGCGCATCCGAAAACTCTTTGCCCATTTCGTCGTCAGAAAAGGTCGAACCCCGGGCGACTGTACTTCCCGGGTAGGGCATGAGAAATCCACTGATTTTTGCGAAGCATGTTTCAATGTGCTGTCGTCTCTGATTGAGGTCCTTCTTGCCACTTTCCATACGTGTTTGGACCAAAGCATCGCCTCCCTGTTTCCCGAACGGATGTGTATCTGGATGATCCCAATCGCGAATCAGAAAGAGTAGGTTCTGGAAGGCCGTTCTGTTAGAGCGATCTCTGGCCATGCGACCGATCTCGCCGAAGAGCTGTAGGTGATCCAGGTCGTCGCTCTTCAAGTTGCCCTGAAGGTTGAACACCTGCATTGAGCTGAGGAGGGTGCTCAGTGCGAATATTTTGGTCGCGTCAGACATGTTTGAATCCTCATCGAACAGCCCCTGCGTGTCTAGAAGGAAGAGGATGGCCTCTTGTCCGGAATCCAAAGTGATTTTGATTGGAGGCGATATGAACATGCCATTGGTATGAGACTTTGCTCCATTTTTCCATGTGAAGCTCCCCTTTTTCACGTCACGCCATTGCCCTTTGTTTTTGGCTGTCAGATATCTGGACATCTCGTTCAACAGGAACGACTTGCCCGTTCGGAATGCTCCGGCCACCGAAATCACCGCCACAGGCTTGTCGGAGACGTCATCACTTTCTAGGAAGGCGCGGAGGACTTCCTCCTTCAGCCGCAGCTTTCTCTCCTGCCCGGTGTCGTCCACGTACAGGAACTGTCTTGATGTCGTCTGAAATGGGAAAATACGGAAACGTTACGGTTTGCAAGTCTTGAGTTTTTAGTCATACGGATATTAGCGGTGCCACCAACACCGTTAACCAGCGCCCCGTAGGGCTATCGCCGGACCCTACCACCCGTAGGGGGGGGGGGCGTTTAGGCCCCCTAAGATCTCAGAAAATTACCGACCGATTTTCAAAATTCAAATGGCGTTGGATAGCCCCAACAGGGAACTACCTTGTGGCCTAATTTCATTGACCTCGGCCTAACTGATGACGTCACAGCCCACATGTCAGGTCGAAAGTCCAATTTTACCGTTTACAGGCATTTCAAGAAATGTGTTCTAAATTCCAGTAAAAAGGAATACCATTGAAAATCATCAATGAAGAATTGTCCGTCAAACACATCTTTTACTAATTGAGGCCACTGATACCAGGTCAGGTCACAGAGGTCAGGTCACTGAGGGTCACAATATGAAAGTGTCGTGTGATACATGTTTTATGGTCCATTTTACATGAAAAATGCGATTATGTTGGTCAGGCAACATTTGGGGCCAGTTTAGGTTGTGTTCTGGTAAAGGTCAGGTCAAGGTTAGGTCAAATTAGGTCAAATTTCGAAGTAAATATTTTTTGATAAAATGGGTGTCGATTCGATGCAGCTCTTCACGGGAATTCTTATGGTGGTCTTTGTTTTGCGCTACGTGGTCTAGAATTGCTGAAATTTGAGTTTGAACATTTACCGTCATCAACTTTGAACAGTGTTTTCGCGATAACTTGGCCAAAAACAGAGGTATCAATCTCAAATTTGATATGTTGAGAGAAGGTGGTAGGGACCATCATACATATTACGATTTTTTAATGAAAAAATTCCGGCTATTATTAAAAAAAAAAATACTTTTTTGATTTTTGGCAGTAAAAATCTAGAAATTTCAAAAATCCGAGATAGCAGTTTCATAGCTCTGTTAATTCTACACCTTTTATGCTTTTAACCCTCGACGGCACGGGGGGGGGTGATGCACTCCCTCTAAGGTTTTTCGCAAATAACTCGCGTAAAAAGCGGCCGATCGCGACTAAGCTTTAAGCAGTACAATCGCGTTGATCAATTTTACACCTGCCCTGAAAATGTCATGACCCTGACCCAAATGACCTTTGACCTGTGACCTACTTTTTTAGACCATGTTTAGCCGGAATCGCGATTCGGCGTATGCCGGCTCGCATCTGTCGTGCGTTTGCAGTCTTGTCGCGGTTTCAAGCGTGCAAATATGGGATATGATGATGCTCCCATGCATTAGGATGGGTTTCAAGGTCATCCGCAGGTCAGGTCAGGTCATTGACCTTTAATGACCTCGGTTCACTTTTTCGAGTTTTACATGTTTCTAGGCTAGTTTTTCGAGCTAAATTCGAATTTAGCAACCATTTGAACAGTTACGAAGTAGTTTCGGTGATTTCGTAACATGTTACGAAGCTGTCAGAGGCGGTTGGCACGTACTACGAATACCCGGCAGGACCCCTACTGGTTGACCTGACTTGACCTGACCCGACCTGGCTTAACCCTCGCCCGCACATGGGGGTTGGTTGCCACCCCCCCCCCCCCAGGTAGTCTTTCTGCTCTGCACTCAACATTTTTTAAGCTAGAAGCCTGATTTTTGGTATAGCTGCTCCTCTATCCTTTTTTGATGTCCACTGAAAATTTAAAGTTTCTGTGGTTTTTTGTTTCGGAGATATGACCTTGTTTTTCAGGTCATGTCATGACCCAAATGGCCGATTATCAACATCTTGCGTTGGCTATGGGCCTTGTGAGCTTTTGACACCTTGATTTCGTTTTTTTTTTTTTGCCAGTCTTACCTCCCACCTATCATGGAACATGTTGTTCGACGATGTACAGATATCAAGGTCAGGGTCAAGGTCAACCTAGGTCATCTAAAATAATTGCGTTTTAGGCAAGCTGAATTTACTTTCCGTGAAGTTCTTTGACTGCATTTTTGGTAAAAGCTTCTCAGGTCATGATTTCATCCTACCTAATATGGACACATAAACACTAGGTGCACACATCAGTGTACACACAGACACACACAAACATACAAACACATATCGTTGACCTTGACCTAACTTGACCTGAAAATGTGCGTTCTAGGATGGGAAAATGGCATGTGCGGGCGAGGGTTAACCCTCGCCAGGCGAGGGCCTTTTCCATAACACGGACAGCGAGGAAGGTTGGTACGACCCCTGGCGATTGGCTCCTATGGCACTTAGAAACGCCCAATTTACAGGGTAGGTGGATCCATAGGAGATCTCGCCCTCGTGAAAATTTAGTGACCCTATGTCAATATTTATGGGAATTTTTGGGGTATAATTGCAAACATTTCGCTAATACATGTCAAAAAATTTCGCTTATAATTTTTTACCTAGTAAAGATAGAGCAAAAAAGCACCAGTGAACTCTGGACGTCCGTGCGCATCGAATGATATACTTTGTTACCAATTTAAATGAAATTTAAATTTTCTTTAAAATAAAGTGAACTTAAGGTAATTAATTACGTTTAACTTAATCAAAATGCATCATATCGCATATCATTCGAACCGCCTGATCACAAGGAACACAACGACACCGTTTTGGAAGCTCGAGCCTCATTGTGTGCCAAGTTATTGGCAAAAACGTAGTTTGACCTTAGTTGACCTCAGTTGACCCGACCCAAGCGTTCTTGCAGCTTGCGAACCCCAAGCAAATGTAAATCAAGGTAGAACAACACAAAAATGTTAAAAGAATGCACAAATCTCTTATCTTTACACATTTGGGCAAATCTTACTTAAAAATTGTCATGACATCCAGATGACCTGGAGGACACGATGGAAAGGGCTATCCATAAGCTGAGGGAGCAGATTCAGCAGGATTTTGGCTTGTTCAGTGAGACGATACGAACCGAGTTTCATGCGGTTAGATCGAAGCCCTCTCCCTCGGTCTGCAGGAAACGAAGAAGGAGGTCAAGTTGCTGAAGGACAGGGTGGAGGAAAATGAAGTTGTAAACCGACTTCCTTCGCTGGTTTTCTCCGGTAAGCCGTTCGCCAGAAAGCACAGGGACGCGAACAAGCCGGAAGCGGAGGATGTAGAGAAGACGGTGCTGTCCGTGGTACGGGAGAACTTCCACGACCTGAACATCAACGCGAGCGACATCGCGAGAGCACACCGTCTGCCCGGCGAGCAGAAAGTCATCTGCCGCTTTGTGCGCTCGGGAAGGGGGTCGCTGCGCGATCAGATATACTACCGCTGGGTGGAACTCAAGGGTAAAGACATATACATAAACGAGTGTCTCACAAAGCAGCGAGCAGAAATTTTCGGTAGACTTCTGGGCCTAAAAAAAGACGGTAAGCTGTTCTCCGTGTTCTCCCGCGGCGGCCATGTGTTTTGCACTTTGTAATGTATTTAATGAGACAATCCTCGATGTACTCGGGGCTATTACAGTCTCAGTTACCTATGTAGTACAAAACATGCAACATATGTATGTACACAGCATTTCCTGCCCTATCATAAACCACGCCTAGGTTGCTGTAAAAAAATAGCACATCTTATACACACACGAGACGAATCATCCACATTTAACAACAATCGCTCGATAGTCATTGCTCTAATAGTTCGGACATCGGACCACGTCACTCTTGCCCAGTCACGGTGCGACTGTCACATAGGTGGCTTACTAAGTGACTCCGGAAAGCTGGCGTCGAGCGTAACGTCAGATCATGTGGCAGCGCATTATACTGGCGAGGTGCACGACAGCAGAAACGCCTTCGTCCCATCTCTGTATGTGACATTGGTACGTACAGTCGTGTACAGGTTGATGGTCCCCTACTCTTTATCCACCGGGTTCCTATGGCTCAGCATTGGCAGCAGCCGCCTGGTACCGGTAGGCTGTGCCGCATGACCCGAGAGTGAAGCGGCACAGTCTACCCACGCCGTTTGACATCGGCTAGGGTCGCCGGGTGGAGCGCTTTGTAGACCAGCTGTTGCGTCAGACCAGCGCGGGGGGAGGGGCTCGTCCCGGTGGTTGGCGTGGGCTGGCGAGTGGTGTGGGGCGTGTTGGTGGACCATGGGGGCTGGGCGGGTGTGTGTGGTCACTTGCTGCATTGCACATTTTGCGTCGCTTAACAATTGCATTCCTGTTTTTGCTAGGCACAATGCACGGAAGACCCAGCGAATATAATTTACTTTACTTGTGCATTGTGCAAAACGTGATTTGGCACGGTATCGAGGCAACCATAGGTCTTGTGCCTATTCATGATATTTAGGCAATACGTTTATGAAAACGGTAGATTGATGCTGGATGTCAATTCGTATTGCTAAATGTCGGCACGTATTAAATGAATGAATGAATCAATCAATCAATCAATCAAACAATCAATAGACATGTATAAAACCGTTTAAATGGCTCGCAACCACTAATAGCAATCACACCATCCTAACTCGGAAAAGCAGCCGGAGCCCTGATGAGGCTCGAACCGGGACTCCACGCTGTAAATTTTGCCAATGATCCATCATCATTCCACCAAGCTAGAGTAACCGGCACCCGAACCCACAAAAACATTAATTGACTTTGCCGCCGACCTCCCGGCCCCGCCGCCCGCCCGGCCAGACTTTGCCCCGGCGATAGCCACCATCCGGTGTAGCTCAGCGTAGGAATGCTCGACTGTCAAACTGACCGGTAGTGAGGGGCCCGGTTCGAAACGCTTCGGATGCTGGATGTTTATTTCTCGGTGGGAGGCTTTACGTTTAGTCCACTTTTCAGAAAGATCATTTGGTGACTGACCTGTTTTTTTTCTTTGCTGCAATTCATGAGGTGACCGTATGCACCCTTACCTGTCCTTCCGCACCCCACTTGGGAGATGGGTGGTTGCCCCCCCCCCATGGGTTTGTGAATATCTCTAAAACGAATTTTTGGAGGGAGGATACGATCTCGGTTCTATGCGACAAGTGACCACACACGCCCAGCCCCAGGTCCGCTCACTCCCTACCCATATCACCC